GGGCCCAGGGTCAGGCAGCCCCAGGGTCTGGCAGAGGCCCCGCCCTGGCGTGGGTACTTGTGTTTGAACAAGGAAAGCCTAGCTGGGGAGAGAGGGAACCCTCCCCTTATGGTGCCCCTGGGGGTCCTGTGCCCCCTCCCATTTTGCAAGGGGTCTCAGACTTCGGGTGGGGCTTAGCCCTAACCTACCATGACCCCCACAATTCTTAGGGGGCTCTACCCCACTCCACCCCTTTTCTGCCCCAAACAAGAGAGCTCAGACCACAGCCCTGCAGCTGGGCCCTGGGGCCCAGACAGGACTGAATCAGAAGGGAAAGGAGGGTCACACTCCTGAGGCCTGTCCCCTGGGGGTGGGGAGGCCGGAGGGCCCCAGGGTGAGGCGGCTGCGGGAAGTCCTGGTGTGGCTGAGGCTGACGGTGAGGCTGTCTGGGTGTGGATATGATAGGTGCCCGCCCACACACAGCACCCCGTGGGTTCCTTACCGAGGCCAGAGCCAGGGGGCTGCTGTCCACTGCAGGGGTGCAGGGGGTGGGGTGAAGCGGCCCTGGGGGGCAGGGGGTGGGCACAAATGCCATTGCTGAGGCTCTGGCTGGAAGTTAGGAATGAGCCAGGCCTGAGACCCAGTGTTGGAGCCTGGAGCAGGGGCTTGAGGTCCCTGCGGCCCCTGAGCTCACCCTATGGCTGCAGGCAGGAACCTCAGGCCGGCCATGCTAGGCATTCCAGCCGGCCACAGGCCTCTATCCTCATCTCTAAGATGCCCGGGGCAAGAAGAGGGCCAGGGGCAGGTGTTAGTGGTCGGGGGAGGCCAGGGTCCGAGAGCCCTTGCTGGAATCGCACCCGCCCAGGGTTGCCTTCTGGGGTTCCCAGTGAGCACCGAGCTTCCCAGGGCAGCCCAGTCTCTCCCCCACGTGGCCCGGCCGGTGAGGGCCCCTCTGGGGGGCTCCCACCTTCGCCTGGTGAAGCTGCCTACTCAGGGCCAATCCCCGGTCACTTGGCGACACAGACACAATCAGGCAGAACCATCTGCTGCCCGACCTGGCAGGGTCACCCCCCGCGTCCCAACTGAGGAATGACTTGGACCGCCCCCTGCAGGTGATGGGCTAGGGAGAGGGCACAGATGCCCCAGGCTCCTAGCTGGCTTACCACCACCACTACCTGGGCCAGGAGCAGGGACCCCTTGTCTTGCAGGAGCGGCTCGGATTCCACTGCCTCTTGGGGAAGCCAGATCCCAGAGAGGGGAGGTGGAGTGGGAGGGAAGGAGGGAGGGAGGAGCATCTGCTAGAGGCGGGGGCAGGTGTGTGTGTGACTGGACCGGAGCTGAGGTTTGGGCCTAAGG